ATCTTTGGAAAAGCCAGTCTGTTTCCTTCCCTCTCCCTTTTCCCTCTCTTTCTCCCCTCTCCCTTCCTTTTCCCTCCCTTCTCTCTCTTGCCTCCTTCTTTCTTTTTTCTCTTAGCCTTGCCTGTATTCCCCTCCCCTCCTCTCTTCCCTTCCTCTTATCTCTTCTCTCTTCTTCCTTTCTTCCTTTCCTCCTTGAGCAGGAGTAGCTTGCGTATTCTTTTTGTCTCGACACACACACCAATTGACTCTTCCCATTAGTCCTCTAATTTCTTCCAGAAGTAGGTGATATTATTGAAGTTATCTTCAGTAGAAATTGGGAAGCACTTCTAAGCTATGGTTAAATGGAATGTGTAGTTTATTTTATTTTCCTTGGTTATCATCCTCTGTAATGTTGATTTTATTTATTAAGCCAGCAGAGCCATCTGGTAAGGATATGTTTTACCTTTTTATCTTATGTTTACCTTTTATATTTCCCAGATTTGATAAATGATTTGTCCTCAGATGAGCCATGAATGCAGATCACATGAGAGGTCCCAAGCCAGTCTTGGTACCAAATGCAAGATCATTCTGTTCCCTGCAGTGTCCCTGGTTATCATGGTGATGAGAGTGGGCTTTTGCTGAAGTTATCTAGCTGCTGCAATAGAGGAAGGGTTTTCTCTTAGTTAAAATGGAATGCTCTGGGGACCAGCAGTTAGCGGAATGGCTGTGTCGCTGGACTCCCATGTAGTTGATGGCGGTTCAAGTCCTGGACCCGGTGGCTTAACCTCATGCTGGGCGCATGTACATGCGTGCCCAAGATCCCGAAAGGAAAATGGAGGAGAAGGGATTGCGGTGTGGCCATCCCCCCTGGGGGGTGATTTCTTGCTTTCTTTCTGGTGAGCACACACACCCTATAGCAAAATCCTCTCAAAAAAAAAAAAAAAAAAGGAATGCTCTGGGCTAGTTCTGAAAATATCCTTCTTTTCAAGGCCCATAGATACTGATACCACTGGTGATCACCTGTGATAAACAGGCAACATTCTCATTCAAGATTTCTTTCATAAATTTACAGCTCAGTTTTTGACATATACTCTATTATTACAAGCGAGGCCCGTGGGGAGAAAATTCCTAAAAATGTAGGTACTTGTCTGTTTTGTTCAGCATTGTGTATATAGCACTTACTACAGTGCTTGCCATAACAAAGGTGCTTGGAAATATTAATTGAGTAAGTACTGGTAATCTAAGTATGTCTATTGTTTTCATGTAGGAACAAAAAGTTAACTAGAACATCCTTTGTTTCTGAATATCCTAAGGATATTTTTGATAGTATCATTCAATGCCACAGACATTACAGTCTATTAGTGGCCTGCTTTGCCTACTTAGGAACTTCCAGAATGCCTTTTTGTCCTGTTGCACGTTACGTATTTTTCATAAGGCTGTGTTTCTATTTGCTTTTGCTTATGCTGGGATTGTACAATCTTGTTTCAGGCTACTGTTGTGCTGCTAAACAGAAATACCTGAGATTGGGTAATTTAATACAGATAAAGGTTTATTTGGCTCAGGTTTGAGAAAGAAAAGCAGATCAGTCTATGGAATGTGAAGTCTGTTAATCCCAAGACAGATATGAGCCATGAGGCTTTGGTTATGCTCCCACAACCATTGGGGCTTTTACCCAAAGGCATATTTTAGTTTAGGTAAACAAACTGACACCACAAACAGTTACAGATTTACAACATGACCCCACTCTTTTCTTCTTTTTTTTTTTTTTTTTTTTTTTTTTTGAGAGATTTTCACTGTAGGGCGCGTGCGCTCGCCAGACAGCCAGAGAGAGACATAGAGACAGAAAGCGAGAAATCACCCCCCAGGGGGGATGGTCACGCCGCAATCTCTTCTCCTCCATTCTCCTCTCGGGATCTTGGGCACGCACGCACACGCGCCCGGCGTGAGTTTTAAGCCACCGGGTCCGGGACACGAACCGCGGTCGACTACGTGGAAGTCCAGCGACATAGCCATTACGCTAACTGCTGGTTCCCTCTTTTCTTCATTTTAATGTTTCTGGAATTCTTTTTTTTTTTTTTCCCACAGCATTTTTTTTTTTTTTGGGGGGGGAGAGATTTTCACTGTAGGGCGCGTGCGCTCGCCAGACAGACAGAGAGAGACATAGAGACAGAAAGCGAGAAATCACCCCCCAGGGGGGATGGTCACGCCGCAATCTCTTCTCCTCCATTCTCCTCTCGGGATCTTGGGCATGCACGCACACGCGCCCGGCGTGAGTTTTAAGCCACCGGGTCCAGGACGTGAACCGCGGTCGACTACGTGGGAGTCCAGCGACATAGCCATTACGCTAACTGCTGGTTCCTGGAATTCTTGATGTATAGAATAATGTATATCCAACCAGTTGTCTGTTTTGTTTTAAGTGGACCAGTGCAAGTTCTTGACCAACAACTTATAACTTCCCCTCTTCCTGCTTTTCTGTTTGCCAGTCTTGTGGGAGCCATTTTGGCATGCACATTTTAGTCAATTAGAATCTTGTTATCTGGGAAAATTGTCCTAATTCCTTGACTGAAATAAACTTCTTTCACTTCACTTGCTGTGCCTCAGCCTCCCTTTATAAGTTAAAATTATTCTGATTTTGTAGTTTGGACAGTGCAGAAAGGAGTAGTTATTGAAATTGTGTGTGTGTATGTATGTGTATGGGTATATTTGTGTGTGTTCTCTTAATATATTTGGAAAACAATGACCTATTCAATAAGTAGGAATTATGCATATCACTTATTGAACTTCTGTTTTGCTGGATTGCAATTAACTGTGACCCTGGTCTCAAAGTGGTGGTTGTCTAAGAGAGAAGTATGAGGTTGGGAAAATTTTCCTAGAGCAATAGAGATTCACTAGATTGACCAAGTTGACTAAGAATAGGTTGCCACACATCTCTGTTAAGGCTTTTAAGGATTTGACCAACCACTCTGTCCAAGAACTATCAGAAAAAGGACATGTGTTTTATTTTGAGTAATAAGTCAAGGTTAAACCCAAAACTCTTAAGTTCAGGATTTCAAAGTCCAGGTAAAACAGAAAATATTGGGAACCAGCAGTTAGTGTAATGGCTATGTCGCTGGACTCCCACGTAGTCGACCGCGGTTCGCGTCCTGGACCCGGTGGCTTAGAACTCACGCTGGGCGTGTGTGCATGTGTGCCCAAGATCCCGAGAGGAGAATGGAGGAGAAAGGATTGCGGCGTGACCATCCCCCCTGGGGGGTGATCTCTCGCTTTCTGTCTCTATGTCTCTCTCTGTCTGTCTGGCTAGTGCACACGCCCTATAGAGAAAACCTCTCCAAAAAATAAATAAATAAAAATAAATTTAAAAAAACAGAAAATATTTATGACATACACACACTTGATTAAGGCAACATTTTCAGCTATTTCTGTCAACAAGCTAAACAGGGCTGGCCTTGAGCTGAATCCAACATGGCCAACAATGGCTCAAGTCGTAACCTTGATGGCTCAAAAAACACCCTGGGTGCATATGCCTGTGTGTCCCAAATCCCTACAGGTTGAAGAAATGAAGAAGGGATTGTGGCCGCCGGGTGCGTGTGCGTGCGTGCCCAAGATCCCGAGAGGAGAATGGAGGAGAAGGGATTGCGGCGTGACCATCCCCCCTGAGGAGTGATTTCTCGCTTTCTATCTCTCTGTCTCTCTCTGTCTGGCGAGTGCATGCGCCCTATAGCGAAAACAAAAAAAAAAAAAAAAAAAAAAAAAAGAAGGGATCGTGGCTTGACCAGTCCCCATAGAGGAGTGCTTTCTCTTTCTCTCAGTCTCTTTTTGGTGAACCCACATGCCCTCTGGCTTAGAAACAAAACACACACACACACACACACACACACACACACATTTTACATAAGCGTAGTAATTAAATACCTTCATAACAAATGTTTATAATTTAACAAATTAGGGTGATAACTGTCAGAACAAAATCCCTTTTCTGGAGAATGAGCCTGCCTTTACAAACACATGAAGGAATCACACGCAGCACAAGATGTGTTCAATATCAGTTGACGGACGTCCCTTCGGTATTATGTCTCCATGTTCCTTGGTGCTCTAAGCAGTGTTCTGCCACGACTCCACCTTCCCACTAACTGAGGGCCACAACCTGGGGAATGAGGGCATATTCCTTTGAAGGAACTGAGCTCCCATCCCTGATTTCTTGTCATCAGCCTAAGGGAAACCTGAAGGTTGTGAGGAGCTTAGAGCAGTGCCTTCTGAATAGGAGAAAAACGGTGAGGATTCTGACCTGATGGGACCTTCAGCGTTTCTCCACCAGAGGGCACCACTTACTGAGCCAAACTGCAAGCATCTTTAAAATCTGGAAAAATGTAAAAATAATGATTATTTTTTTAAAAAAACAGTCAAGG